CGCACACACACACACACACACACACACACACACACACACACACGGAGACAGACACAGACCTACAGATACAAACACATCCACACAGTGACATAGACAGACAGACAGACACACATACACATGAGAGAGAGAGAGAGAGAGAGAGAGAGAGAGAGAGAAAACACATACACAGACACACACACACAGACACACACACACCCACACACAGACATACAGACACAAACACATATACTCACTGACATAGACAGACAGACAGACAGACAGACAGACACACACACACACACACACACACACACGGAGACAGACACAGACCTACAGATACAAACACATCCACACAGTGACATAGACAGACAGACAGACACACATACACATGAGAGAGAGAGAGAGAGAGAGAGAGAGAGAGAGAGAGAGAGAGAGACTTATAGATACAGACACACAACACACATACACACAGAGAGACATATAGAGACATATAGATAGACACAGCTGTCTGAGTGACACTCTTGCCTCTCTGGTCTTTGCAGTGTTAAGGAGGCCACTGGAAAAGCCAGACACCCAGGGAAGAGCTCAGGGCTGACAGCCTGAGAGCTGGTCATTCTGGGAAACCAGAGGCCTTGGCAGTCCCCATCTGGCATCTAAAACCTGGAAGGCTCCAGGAGAGTTCTGGATCTTCAGCCCACCTTGGAAGCCTAAAGAAGCTGGAGTCTGATGCCACCAGGGGTTGGAGGCAGCAGCAGGAGAGAGATGCACTTAAGAGGTGAAGGCTGCAGGCTGGCCACACTGCATATACCATGGAGGTCAGCACTGGGATGCACTGCCCACACGGGAAGAGTCTCCCTGCCTCAGAGACAGACAGGACTTTCAGACCCTGTAAGTTGCTAATCAAGTTTATCTGTTTCATTTTCTTCCTGTAGCGCTGGTGCTCAAACTCAGGGCTGCTCACACACTACACAAACACTCTTCCACTGAGCTACAACCTGGTTCATTCGATGTCTTTATACTTGAAATGATTTTTGTGTTTTTTAAAAGTATTTCAAATGTAAGCTAAAAGCGAATTCTTACCAGTGGCTACTATTTTTATTGCTTTGTTTTTTGAGACAAGGTCTCACTCTGTCATTCATGTGTCGCGTCTGCCCTCCAGTAGCTCTCATGCTCCCTTCCCTTAGTCCTTGGGGCTCTAGATACAGGCCTCTCTGAGTGTGCTATGTTGCCACGCACAGTTGTGCTGTAGCTTTCTTCTGAAATAAATGGATTTAAAAACAGGCCTGGTATCTTCCCGGGCCCCAGGCATGCACACGGCACACAGACATACTGCAGACAAAATGCCAGTGCACATAAAATAGAAATAAACGAATTATTAAATAATTATTCTGAAGATGATATGTTTGGCCTTGAGGAGACGGGAAGGTGTCAGGGAGAGATTAGTGTCCATCCTTTAGACATTAAGAAAGACAAGAGATGGTGGCCGAATCAAAAGGAGGAGCCTGAATGGTGTGAGAGCGAGGGTGTGATATGGGGCTGGACAGACGGCTGCTCGTATAGAGAGCCCTGGTTCAGTTTGCGGCACCCACACAGTAGCTCCTTCATCTGTAGGTGTGTGTGTGTGATGCCTTCACGTATGTGCACATTGAATAAATGTAAATGGAGAACGTGGAAGAGGCCTGTGCTCTCAGCTGCTCTGAACAGTTGGTGGCCTGACACACTCAGAGTGCTATGTGAAGACACCCGTGACAGGAAGCAGGTGCTGCCCAGTGCACACGGTCAGAGTGTTTTCTGTGACAACACTGGGCAGAGTTAACACAGTGACTCTTACTTAGCTCACAAGCAGCAGGCTCACTGCAGCTGTGGTGTCACCTCCTGGGCCTAAGTGGTGGAGGCTGGGCGGAGGGAAAGGTTCTGAAGGGGCCAGGAAGGGAGGTGTTTGGAAGTTAAAGGTGACAGATGAAGGGGAGCTTTGTACTTTGCTAAGAAACAGATAAGCCTGGATGAGCGCTGCATGCCTCCTGTGAAGAGGACATGGGACTTGGAGTCTTCTCTAGGGAACATACAGTTTGATTAACTAAAAATAGTAAAATACAGACAGCCCTCCTGTAAGTTGTCATGGCTGACATGCTTGAGAACAGCTTCCCCTGGCCCCCGAGACACACTCCTCCTCCTTGGCCTGGGGAACAGGACCCTCCCATGTTGCTTTCCAGTCCCTCCCGGACTCGCTTCCAGGCCTGTGTGTTCCCCCGGCCCAGAGGGACCCCCTTCTCGGGCCACTTCTACTTCAGGGAAAACAGTAGAAGTAATTACACGTTCAAGCAGTCCTGTTAGGACTCTTGTACAAAATCAAGTGGAGGAAAGCCACTTAAATTTTCAGGGTTACCTGGAAAGGCCTGCTGCCCGCTCCTTCCTGGTTATGGTTAACCCAGCTTCCCTCGGGCAGCCTTTCTCTTTCTGTCACCTGCAACTGTTGCTTAGTGTGAACGCCATGTCCTTCTTACCGAGCTGCTATGTGAACATGTCAGGGATGTTTCTGGCCTTTCAGACTTGGAGGGTTTGGTTTGCTTTATCTTACTATTTTTATTGTCCTGGGGACTGAGCCCAGGGTCTTTTCCATGCTGAGCAAGTGCCATTGAGCTGCACCCACAGCCTAGAGTTTGAAGTTCCTCTTTAAAAAACAAAAAAACTTTAAAAAAGCACCAATATTTTTTATTGATTCTTTGAAAATCCCTTGCATGTATACAATGTATTTTATTATATTCATCCCAATTCACATCCTCCCTCCAGACACCAGAACTCCTCCAGCCAAGTTCATATTTTTTCTTTTTAAATAATCCAATGAGTCCAGTTTGGGCTGCCCAGATGCTCATGGGTCTGGGGACATCCACAGTAGGTGTAGACAACCTGCCAATGCCCTGGCCCCGAAGAAAATGTGTCTTGCTCCCTGGCTGGCCTAGAATTCACCCTGTGGCCTGCCTGCCTCCGCCTCCTGACTGCTGGGAATAAAGGCATGTGTTACTTTGTTACTTTGGTCCTTCTCCATGTTTTTTGTTTGTTTGTTTGTTTGTTTGTTTGGTTTGTGACAGGGTTTCTTTGTGTATCCACCTTGGCTGTACTGGAACTCAATTTGCAGACCAGACTGGCCTTGAACTTACAGAGACCCGCCTGCCTCTGCCTCCCGAGTGCTTGCTGGGATTAAAGGCGTGGGCCACCACCACCGGCCCTTCCCCATTAATTTTAAGATTAAAAGAAATTATGTGCTTTGAATCTATAGGTTACTTTTATTAACAGGGCTGTTTTCACAATGTTGATTCTTTCAGTCTATGGTCATGGGTTGGTCATTTAATTTTTTAGTGTTTTCCTCTATTTCTTTCTTCAGTGTTTTGAAGTTTTCATTTTAGAGGTATTTCACATCCTTGGTTAGCTTGATTACAAGGTATTAAAAAAAAACTATTGTGAATTGCTTGTCATTGGTATAAAGGAAGGATATTGATTTTTTTGTGTACTAAATTTGTAACCTGCCTCTTTGCTGACAGTGTTTATTAGTTCTAGTATTTTTCTAGTGGGGTCTTTAGGGTCTCTTATGTGCGGAATAGCATCATCTGCAGATAGAGGTACTTTGGCTTTTCTGTGTTCTATTTCTCTCCCTGTTATTGGCTTCTCCTGTCTTACTGCTATAGTTAAGCAAAGCTTGGATCACCTGATGCCAAAACGAGACAAAGTTGTAAGGAAAGAGAAAATACACACCAGTTTCCCCGATGAACACAGAGACAAAAATTCTGAACAAAATACTTGTCAAGAAAATTCAAGACCACATTAGAGACATACTCATCGTGATCAACTGGCTTTATTCTGGATGCAAAGGAGGATTTAATATACAGTAAATGTTATAAATCCCATAAATGGACTCAAATTGCTGTAAATAAGTGTGGAGAGAGTAGACCCTCTGTCTTGTCCTACATGCTGCTTTCCCCTCATTTAACGCAATGTTGGGTGCAGGTTTGTCTTTTACAGCCTTTATTAGGCTGAGATATGTTCCTTCGGGTTGTTTATCATGAAGGTATTCGATTTTAGCAAAAGCCTTTCCAGCATCTGATGAGATGACCGTGTGTGCTTGACCAACCACTTAATCCATCTGGGCCTGGACCATTTTTATTTGGGGATCTTAAAAAATATTTAATTTTATTTGTAATACGTGTGCATGTGCGTGCGCGCGCGTGTGTGTGTACGTCTCTCTCTCTCTCTCTCTCTCTCTCTCTCTCTCTCTCTCGCTCTCTCTCTGTGTGTGTGTGTGTGTGTGTGTGTGTGAGTGTGCCCATGGAGTCCAGAAGAGGGCATCAGAACTGAACTGTCTGATGTGGGTGCTGAGAATCAAACTCAGGTCCTCTGGAAGAACAAAAAATTCTCCTGTCTGCTGAGCCACCTCTTCAGGCCAAGTTGGGAAAGTTTTAATAACTGCTTCAGTCTCACTGCTTATTGTAGCTCTGCTAAAATACTTTATCCAGTTGTATTTTAATTATTAAAAATATTCATTAATTATGAGGTATATGTGTTAACCAAGGTGAACTGTGGAGGTCAGAGGACAACTTGTAGGGGCCGCCAGTTCTCGCCTTCTCACGTGGGTCTTGAATCAGACTCAGGTCATTCGTCTTGGCACCAAATACCATTACCTGATGAGCCATCTTGGCAACTGGTTTAATTTTTGTAGGTCATATCTGTCTAAAATTTATCTTTTTTTAGGTTTTGGAATTTAGTGGAATATATATATATATATTACATGTAATATATATATATATATATATATATCAATATATCAAGAGCTAATGATTTTCCAAATTTCATTGTTATTTGTTATAATGGCTCCTTTTTTCACCTCTAATCACATTAATTTGGATCTTCTGCCTTTCTCCTCTTGGTTAGTTTGGCTAAGGGTTTGCCAGTCTTGTTTATGTTTCCAATGAACATATGTTTCCATCTCCCCAATTCCTTATCACTTTTTTCAGTTTCATCAATTTCTGCCTTGATCTTAATGCTGTTTTTTGACTCGTTCTTTTTTTTTAACAGAACTTTTAAAAGGTGTTTCCTTACATTATTTATTTGATGTCTCTGATTTCCTAGTGCAGACACTTACAGATATAAAGATCCTTGGGTGTAGTTAGTGGTTTCTCAGGCTCTGGATTGGAGGTTTCTGGGCTCTTGGCCTTTTATCTAAAGAACTGAACACAAGGGCTCCTCCAGTTTACAGAAGTATGGTAACGTTATTTGTAGCGAAGCCAAAGTGCAGATTTTAGAGGGGCACATTGACAAGGCTGGCTGGGTCCCAGCTAGAACCTGGCCTCCAAGTGGAGGGGCCTGCAGCTAGAGGTAGTTTTGGATGCTTTTTATTTTGATTGATGAATTTGTTATATAGCCATTCCTCTACTGTGATTGCCCCTTCCGGTAATACACCTAGTTTTAACCATACACATGCCCAGTTAAGTGTAGGCTTAAGATGGTAAACAGTGACTTTCCCTAAAAAATTACTTAGAAGACACAGTTTTGCTTTATTTCATAGGCACCTAAAACCAGCCCAGGAGAATTGGCTCATCATCAGCTTTATCAGGATTGTGCCTAATGCAGGTGGGGGATTGGGAGAGTTCTGATGTTGTTACATGTATTGTTCGGACAGGCATGCAGATTTTAGAGGGGCACATTGTATTGGATCGTGTGTGTAGGTGAAAGAACAAGTCTAAGTCTGCAAGTCTTATAAGGAGAGGGGTGAACATAATCCCAAGACAAATTGGGGAACCAAGCTAAACGATGCCTTATGCTCAGCTGCCATGTTGTGGGTTTTGTCTTGTTTTAGAGATCTAATTTGTTTTTATTTTATGGGCCCAGAAAAGGGG